ATTTCTGATCTGTTTTATTATTATATAATGACCGGGGTTTCCTGGTAAATGTGACTTATATTTTACTTTTTTTATGTGGAAACTACTTAGGTTAGAAGTTTCATCACTGTTTTTATAAACGAAATATATATCTTAAATTTTCCATTTTTCACACACCAAATATCATCTCCGCCACGGAAATCGATCCAAAGACGTCTGGATTATAAAGTAAGGATCGTATGTTCTAAGCTACCAGACATGATATTTGTTTTCTTATTAACTGTAACAAAACCCGAACACCCTAAATTTGTCGCATACTAAAATTATCTTTGAATAGGAAGCAATGCTTCCATAAAACTTTTTTTTCTATCCCCGTATACGTTATATAAGTGGATGAGCTTCAACTTTGACGGACATTGTTCTGAAGTATGATATTTCAATATATACCGCGATCAAAAATATCTTTTTATCAACCTTATACGTTGACTTAGTCTGTGTTTGATATGACGGGAATCGTTATATGTGTAGTAGAACAGTTTACCGGTAAACCTGGTGTAGCATACTGTTTTGTGCCATCATGATTCATTGAATTGCCTTCTGTTTTGTTGGCGTTCCAGTTGCGTCTAGAGTAATTTCATATAAACTGTCAGTTATGATTAGGTCCTTGTGATATACATTGTACCGTTTCATTATTTATTCAGATTTCATACAAGTTTCTTATTCTTTTTCGCTGTATAGTGCACAAAACATGTACCAATCTATGAAAATAGTATGACTAAGATAGAAAATTTGCATTTCAGTACATCGGTTTTGTGAAGTTCGTACATTGCTCAGAATCATGACGTGCTTAAATGGTAATATAAACTCATATTAATATTGATTGATTCAAATTTTGCAATACAGGTGCCAATATTTCGTAAAGCCATGTACCATACCAATTTTTTTCTGCAGTTTCAGCCATATTTAAGTCCGATGTACATATATATTAGTTTGATATAGGTCAATTATGTTTTACTACACTTTTTACAGAGACATGGTGTGAATCATAGTGTATTCCTATAAACGTGGAATCTATAAATTGTTAACAGTGTAAAACTTAATGTTAATGTTTCTATATATCGTAGACGCTAAAAGTGTCGATCTCGGCCGACCGTTAAAGGATACTGTCTATTTAACTACACCCGTACTGTAGTTTACTTGAAAGATGGATATGCTGTAAGATTTGATGTGTTATTTCAATGTCAAAATTATCCTCTCTCAGCCTTACTGAATCATTGGAAAACTTTGAAGCAATACATTCACGACCTCGAACGGCATGGCTTTCCAGCATGACGTTTAATGTATATGCAAATTCACAGCCACCAAAGCGCTATATATACAATAGGATTAACATTAGGAGGCAATACAACATTTCTATATGTCTAGACTACTATTGAAATTCAACAAATGCCCAGGTTTATTTTATAAACACATTGTTCTTTGTTTTTCACAGTCATGACTGATCCATTGTATACATATACGTTATGTAATTTGAACAGTTATCCCTCAACGAAGAACATTAATAATACATTAATAACCTTTAATGGTTATTCTCATAATCTCGTTTACCCCTAAACATACATGTTGTCGTGACTATGCATCAGAATGAGCCGGGTGACAATACGTCCCTAAGATGCGCAGAAGAGTAAATATCAGCGTTTTATGATTGACAACCCCTCCCAATAGAGAATCAGTCAGCCTCTGTCGCCCACGTGTCGCGGGTTGTCTCCCAGCATACATTGTACCATGCATGGTCAACCTCTATGCAGTAGGCAACCATGGATCCCACGCGCCAACAAAAACGGAGTGGGTAATTTAATAGAGGCACATCAGGGCAGTCATCAGCCAGAATAGTAATACCTATAATCATATTTAAGGCCAATCTCCAGGGAATTACTTTGTTAATCTTGGAGAGCCGGGTCACGTTTTGTCTGCCAGTACACAACAAAAATACTGGGCCTGTATTCATGAAACAGTTCTCATGCTCAAGCATTGATTTTGTGCTCAAGCCTAATTTCTTGTGCTATTTATAAATTACTAATGCAATTTTATTTTGTAAATGATTTGGAAAACATTTGAAGAGGCTCAAAGCTTAATACTGTTTTCAATGATAACATTGGACTCTTAATTATTTGACATGATTTAAGTGAGTTACAAAAAACATCAATGCTTATGCATGAGAACAGTTCTTTTGGAGCCTAGCATAAACGATCCTTTACCTGCTATACCATAAATGGCTCGAAATATAATACTGTACATGTTGTAGGCTATGTAGATAAGGTAGATAGAAGGTAAAGAATTATACAAAACTGTTGATATTTTTCATTCAATAAATTATTTAGGTCTTAAAATCACCTTCTCCAAGGTTTTCAAATCGCCTTCTGTGTAAAACACTGAAGTAAACAACTTTTGGTACGTTCAACGCAGATATACAATCTGTATTGTACTTACGCTTAGATAAACGTATTATTTTATTGTATGGGGAGGAGGGGGAAAGTGAGATTGTTTGTATGCTCTAGTAGAGGGAGACATAAACCAGGTAATTTTATCTAAAAAAGGATATTTTTCGTTTTCCGTTTAGAGTACTAAAGTTTTTTCTTCAAAATCCCAATTTTTAAGCATTACCATGATTTTTAAATGAAAAGCTACATGTTTTTGGGATATTAAGCAAGACACGATTGCTATCCTTCACTTTACAGGCATCGTTCTGGCAATGTGTCGATATCCGTCGAACCTTTCATTGTTTTAAATGGGAGATGACGCCGACTATACCTAAGTGATGACTGCAATGTTACGATAGCACTCGTCCGTCGACCCGAGACACAAAGTGCGTAGTCCACATCGGGAATTGATTATCATTGTTTCTGGTTTGACACGCCTCACGACTGATTAGCTGCTCAGAGACAAGGATCATTGTCCAAGTTTACCATAGAGGATATTGCTGTATCGAAACAGTTTTGATTTATCAGATTTCTCAAAGAAACCGTTTGACCTCTGTCAATACGTGACCGAACGTTTTTCGAGATTTCCCTTCCGGGAAGGATAAACGAACGTGAAAATTGGAAGCGTCGCGGCGCCGTGATGTATCATGAGTGTCGAGTTAAGCGTCGAGAGTAGGTTGATGGATATGGCGCCATCTTAGTCTACCCTAGCTGCATATCATTCTGTGCATCATGGACACCGAAAGGTGCAGGCATGATCAATGAACACTAAGATTGAGAAACAAACAACAATGAAAGGTTTTGTTTCATATTCTGAGTTTTTAAAAGTAGTTTGTATTCTTGAAGATAATGAATGCATGTCGGATATAGCTTACACGGGACTACAACTTGTTTATTTAATTCAATTATATAAAGATTTTGTAGGTGATGTGATATGAGGATTGCCCCAGGGTTTGGTGGAGTGATATCAAGACTGTAACATTTGTCTGGGTGATACAAGACAAGACTTTACAATTTGTTTGGGTGATAAAAAACTACGACTGGTCAGGGTTATACAAGACTTTACAATTTGTTTGGGTGATATAAAACTACGACTGGTCAGGGTTATACAAGACTTTACAATTTATTTGGGTGATATAAAACTACGACTGGTCAGGCTTATACAAGCCTGTACAGTTTGTTTGGGTGATATAAAACTACGACTGGTCAGGGTTATACAAGACTGTACAATTTGTTTGGGTGATATAAAACTACGACTGGTCAGGGTTATACAAGCCTGTACAGTTTGTTTGGATGATATAAAACTACGACTGGTCGGGGTTATACAAGACTTTACAATTTGTTTGGGTGATATAAAACTACGACTGGTCAGGGTTATACAAGACTGTACAATTCGTTTGTACTATACATGAATGTACCAGTACAGTTTGTGTGGGTGATAGAGGACTGTGCAGTTTGTGTGGGTGATAGAAGACTGTGCAGTTTGTGTGGGTGGACAAAACTACATGTGCTGTAAGTGACGCAATTCTGAACGTTTGTAAATTCATGTTATCAAAGTATGTCAGTGTGGTATCTGTTAGCATACTATAAGAACATATGTGAAATAATAAATATGATGTTTTGGTATTCACACCAATGTGTTAGAAATTGTCCCATTACACGTACAATACATATTCGAAATAGCAAACATAACTGTGGTGACAGTTATGAAATCCTTTTATTCCACTCTTTTGTTTCTGTTATCAGAATGACTCCAACGTTCACAAATAAAACATCTCGAGTTGGGTAACGTTGATGACTGCTTTGGCTGCCACTAATAAATATTTCACCAGGGCGCGTGTTGACAACACTGGAATAAGCTGGTTTGTGTTCGTCGCCTGGAAATGCTGTGTAGTTTTTGGTTCCATTGATTGATAGTAGCGCTCCAAACGAAATGTCAAAGACTAAACCAAAAATATGCCAGGCTATACCGCGGACATTTACATATAGACGGCGATTTTGTAATTTATCATATCAATATGGCAATGGTTTCGTTTGAGTAACACGGCAGTTCTGACGATGATGACCGATGTATCTAGGACAATACATTACACACAAGGACATATCAAGGACATCGGGACCTAAACGTATTCTATATAACGAATATATATCAATTTCAATTTAATTTCGCTTGTCTCTATTTTACGGAAGGTTTCCTACCTCACTTCAATAAAGCCTTTTTGTGGTTTTCATTATAACGTTTCGTTCGTTGTTTTCATTGACATACAGGTTGAGGCGGTATTGGTAAACATGTATTGCCAACTTTGATTTCGAATTTTAATTTGGTTATCTGTCTAGTTATACTGTACTTACTGTATTTTCTACCTTTATTTGTTATTGTAACATGTACAAGTATCATGTGAAAACGCCATATGCTACGGAAGATATTTTAATGGATAGTCGTGTCGATCACTGGAATTATTTTAAAACGGTATTCTTGGGTGTAAACATATTTATAATAAATTAGATCTTTTTTCCTAATAATTTAATTTTGTGTTTCAGCACGATTCTAATGGAGCTCCTATGTCATTGAAAAGTAAAGCCCAACAGAACCGGAAGCGTCGCGTTACGAGGATGGTGTTGGTGGTGGTTCTGCTGTTTGCCGCCTGCTGGCTCCCTATACACGTCATCACGCTTTGGATGGCTTTTGATCCAAATTTTCCATTAATAGACCCTCTGCTCATTTTCAAAATATTTTCTCATACATTATCATACGCTAATTCCTGTGTGAACCCGTTTGTGTATGCATTTTTAAACGATGGGTTTCGAAAGGCATTTAAGAGGAGGTTTCCAAGTTTTAGTCGTTGGTGCAGCTGCCTGTGCCGGAACACTAAGGAATGCCAAGAAACTAGTATGATAGACAAGGCGGTGGAGGCTAAACCTGGCCTCGAGCAGTCCGAACTCCTTACTACCACACAGACACTGTGAGTCCCCTTGTTCACCGGTTACTGGTCGTGGCACTTTTGTACACAGTTTGTTGTTCTAGAGTAAGGCAGAAATGTCACATATTTAACTAATAAAGATGACAAACAATGTTTAGAATTAGTATAATGACTGAAAATCATATATATTAACCTATAACTAATAAGTATATGAATGTTATGTTGTATATGAAATGTTCACACGTATTATATAATGGCACGTTAAATCAATACGACAAATCGGCACTTAAATATAGATATGATTATGTATTTTTGAACCATTATATTCATCTTCATTTACAGTAAGCGTACGTGTACGTGATGGCTGCGTGTTGTCGTACAGACATCTATTACTACGATTAACCACCAGGTATGGGTAGAATCAGCTTTATTACTCCATCCTATTAAACTAGACGACAAGTGTCGTGTACACGGATCCATTGACTAACTGCTTGTTCAGTTTGACGTAAAACTTGGCACAGGACAGAACCGACTGACGTTGCGACATACAATCATCGGCCTGTAGCATATGATGTAATGGTAACATCACTATATAACACAGGTTTCATGTCTCAGTTCTTCTCGGCCATTGACCTTAGTCACAAAACACATAGATACATCTATAATCCATCGACCATAGCAGTTTCGAAGACGTAAAACTCCAAACAAACAGACAGACAGATGATCATTTATGTATATGCAGTATTTGCATATATGTGTGCTATGGCTACTGTGTTTACTGTGCTGATGTCTGACGAAAAGTGCTTGTTTTTGTAATGTCGCTGGCGGTGAACAAATACAGAATAACTAATGTAGGGCACTTTTTACAAATCGAACTTTAGAAATGGCCGAGATCCTCTGAAACATGAACAATGTCACTATTTTTATCACTGGCTGAGCATTTAAATATTAGGTTATGTGCAAAGCGTAAAGTCATGTCTGAACAATGTGTTCTGAACAACAGGTTAAGGATCGCGTGACGTCTGTATTACTTGCAATAAAGCAGAATGTAACGTACTATAGGCTTTCTGTAAACAAAAGAAAACTAAATCATATAATCAACGGAACGTATGTAATGCGGTTATTTATCTCACTCAAGAAATGTCTTAACTTATGGGTAGAACAGATTTTGCTTATATAAGTTTTCCTCCATGGCGTACCATGTGTATGGTGTACCATGTATATTAAAATAACACAATAAAATAATTATCAAAACATATTTTGGAGCCGTGTTTTAGGATATCCTGAGACTACCTGACAAAGTATCATCACCCTAAAATATGCAAACCGCAGGACGGATTGAGAGGACGATGACTCTTTGCTTTTGTATCTAACTAAAAGTCGTTTAAACTGGTATATCATATTATCAAGTAAGCATGGTAAAGCGAAAGCATTGTACATACTTCGTACCATGCTTGTCATTATTTGCTATATGTAGATAATTTTAATTGTAAATAGATATACATTTTATCTGATGTGTTATTGAAGTACCTTTTCACAGCAAATGTAAAGAGTTTTCGTGTTCTTAACTGTTATGACTAAATACAGCTTCAGACATGTTCTATAGTGAACACTTTGCCTTTTTTTAAACATATATATGAGTAAGTAATTTACAAATTGTTCGTTTACAAAAAACATTTCTAGTTAAAATACATTATTTCTTATTTTAAACTCTCAAACGAGAGTTAATGATTCTTATTTGCAGTATTAATCACTTAATGGTAATTAACTATAAACAGCTTCTTAAATTAAGGAAATGAAATGATAGAATATGCTTTGCTTATCATTTATCAAATCAACTGGAATTATCTTTATTGGACAATCATCGTATACAGATAAAAGGATTCAGCATACAATTTAATTTTTGTGGCATATTATGAGACGTAATTCAAGACAGGTACTGAGTTTTGTGTTTTGTTCAATGACGTTGAGACATTATATCATTACCGAATTGTGTAATGTGTTTTCCATCTATTTTATACATTATTTAGTAGACGTCACATTTATTTGTAAATATAAGATGACTAAACATTTTAAGGTGTTTGTGATATACATGTTTTAATCTGTTTCTACAATATCGTTTTGAGAAAGGCCACCCGAAAAGAGCTATTTTTTTATAATTAGATTAACGTCTCCCGTCTCGCCATTGTTTCAATGTACATATACAGTGTGTGGATCTAGGCATGCGGTGACACGTGAAATCATTTATACGCATGCGCTTTAGTATTTAATCTTTACATGTAGAATTGTGTTGTGGCCAGTTTAAGTGCAAAGAAAAAAGGTATTTGTTAATTCTTATTTAAGATAGATATTTTCTTATTTAAACTTAAGTACCTCGAAGTTGACACTGAAAGAAGCATTGTTTAAAGTTACGCTTGACAGCTGGTTAAAGCAAACGTTCAGTCATAGTATCGAAAAGCATTCCGAGAAATGACTCCAAACGTATGAATATTGAGAAGACTAAGTACAGTTTAAGGGCATGCTTTGTTTGCAAATATTGCTCGTATTTTTATTAATATACATTTTATTATCAGAATTTGTAAATACACCATAGTTTGATTCGTCTTGGCATGCTTTCTTTTCATTGATTACTAACTGTTTAGCACGATATTGCTGTAAGGAATTTTGTCAATGAAACTAGAACAAAATACCGTATAATACTAAAAATACAAAATGACAAAACAGGGTAACGTTGAATAGTTCCTTATGTCGATATCTTATGTGTTCGTGTGATTGTTTTCGGTAATATCGTGCTATTCTTAATTTATTATAACTTATCGTGTATTTGATGTTATGTAATGAATCACATGTATTATATTCGTATAGTAAACACTTAATTGCGGTAAAAAGCAAGTACCCTATACACATCTGATCTAGATTATCTATTATTCCCGTGAATACTATCTGTTGGCCTATCTAACTTCTGTGGCCGTGACCTATCTAACTTCTGTGGCCTATCTAACTTCTGTGGCCTATCAAGCGTACATGGTATTAATATTGTTATCAACATAAATATCATCATCTGTTCAGATTTAGACTTAAGAATTGTCCACGTATTGCAACCTTTGTTCTTCATTTATCTCGAAACGTCCTGTATATTATCCTTGGTGTGTTATTTACTTACGGAGGAAAAGATGAACAATGATGCCTATAGATGCATATATATATATATATATATACTTACGAAGAAGAACTATGATATCTATATATATGCATATGTATATAAAACTAAATCCGCCTGAAGAAGCCCTAGAAGGAAGAAAGGCCTAGCAGACGATCTGAAAGATTTATGTTTTTTATTTTATATGCATGCATACATACTTACGAAGGAGGACTATGCTACCTATATATATATATACTAACGAAGAAGAACAATGATACCTATATATACTAGTATATATGTATATGTATATATTTACGAAGGAGAACAATGATACCTATATATATGTATATATAAAGAAAACATTTAGAAGTCCTTGTGTTGGAATTAAATATAAAAAATAATATATGTATATATATATATACTTAAGAAGGAGAACAATGATACCTATATATATTAGTATATATGTATATGTATATACTTACGAGGGAGGACTATGATACCTATATATGTATACTTACGAGGGAGGACTATGATTCCTATATATATATACTTACGAGGGATGACTATGATAACTATATATATATACTTACGAGGGAGGACTATAATACCTATATATATATACTTACGAGGGATGACTATGATAACTATATATATATACTTAAGAAGGAGAACAATGAAACCTATATATACTAGTATATATGTATATGTATATACTTACGAGGGAGGACTATGATAACTATATATATATACTTACGAGGGAGGACTATGATACCTATATATATGTGTGTACGGTTTGCTGCTTTACTTCCATGTCCGAAATATTGTTCTGTATGTTGTGATTAGATACCTGACACTCGCTTGATGACGTCTACTTGTGTGTATCACCATTGTTAACAGCTTCCTTTGACTGTAATAAACAATACTTGCAACAGATTTGACTTGTTATTACTCGACTGGTTTGTAAAGGTAGTTTGAATAGTAATATGTAAGGCATTAAAGCCATCAAACCAGCAAATCAAATTAGCATACCTAAAAAACGCAACGCCTTCACACCACGGATCATATTTTAACCACAATAAACTCTGCTTGAAAATCTAGATCATCCAGTAACCGGAGGTTGTTGTTTAAGTTTTAATCAGCGGTTTCGTTACACCTTCCGTCGTTTTGATTGATAGGAATTATAAAAGATATAACGTAGTTGCGTCAAGGTTTGCGCCTTTGACTTCATGTTTCTCCATTTCGGCCATTTGTTCGCGATATAGAACCATAATGGATGCTAAGATTTTAAAAGTGGTTAGCTTGTGAACATTCAGAATGCAATAAAACGAACAATATGAAAATATTACAGGATAGCATTATCAAACACTATTTGGCTGCTTAAGTATAGTGTTGTAGACATAGCCATATGTCTTTTAATAGCAATTAGGAAACTAAGAAGAAATAGCAAAGCGAACTCACTCGTCCTTTGTAAAACAACGATGTTTATCATTCGACAATATCATATAATGAAGCGCGGTAGTCTAGTAGTAGAGCGCCGGTCTCGTGACCGAAAGGTTGGGTGTTCGAGTCATGTCACGGCACTGTATTGTATCTTTTAGCAAGATTCTTTACTCAGCTTGTTACAGTCTACTCAGCTGTAAATGAGTACGTTGAGGGGCAGTAGTAGAGTTGTTGAATGATGGTTGTGAGCGCCTGAATGGCAGCTTCGTCTGTATGCTCCCCAGGGAGTTGAGAAATATATTGTCTTGTTGCAAAGGCCATATAACCACTGATGATAATTTGTGAACCGCTTTGAGACGACCTACGAACTAGGTCGTGATAAAGCAGTATATAAGAACCGCGAATTATTATCATCACTATTATTATTATATACAAATTGTACTAAAAAGACGATCCACAGCTCGCGACCGTTCTTTGTCATGTTTATCTTCATTTCCTCACTTAATTTTTTTTCTCTCGAAAAACCAGACCTCTTTAAGCACTTTTCTTTTTAAGATCTAAAAAGCTATCTTCACTGAATTAAGTAGGCATAATAAACCTGTCACATCAAAAAGTAAAATATAAATTGGTAATCCATTTGGTAGTTCCGCACTATGACACATTGTTACAAAATTAATAGAAGGGAGATAACTGTTAAACCAAACCAGAGATATATTGAATGTAAAATAACCAACGTCTTTAGAGCATCAGTGAAACATTGAATGTTCATATTTGAACAGACAAATAAATGACTATATTGCATACGGTGTTATCAAACTAAAAGCGTCCCGGGCCCAAAGGCCAACACCCCTAACGTCAATGTAGCCAAATCAGGACACTTTTTAGATAATTATTAATGTTGTTTACACCATACTATCAGTTCCAAAAATATCGGCAAAACATATGCACAGTTAAAATATTTTAGAGTCAACGAGAGTTCTGATTAAATTTCTTCTCCAAATTAGCATTAGTTTGATAAAATATACTTTTGAAAATGATATCCAAATCAGGAAAGTCTTGTTTTGGTAATTATTCTTACCTTTAAATTGTCCATGTAACGATAATCAACAGCAGAAAAACTTAATACAGTTTAATTGTCATTAAAAGCATTACGAAATGAAAACTGTATACATAAAAGTACTTCTTTGCATTGAATGACAGGTTCTTTGGGCCGTTTTCCCACAAGTGTTCCGTTTTGGGTACTGTCCCGATTTGGGTACAGTGACGGTACACTGTGTACTGTCCGAAGCAATCCGAAATCTACTAAACACTACCACAAACATATATAATATTACATACCAGAGTGTATAATCACATTGTTATAACCTCATCTAAAGTAATTAAACATCCACTAAACATTACCACAAACATATATAATATTACATACCAGAGTGTATAATCACATTGTTATAACCTCATCTAAAGTAATTAAACATCCACTAAATATTACCACAAACATATATAATATTACATACCAGAGTGTGTTATCACATTGTTATAACCTTATCTAAAGTAATCAAACACCTACTAAAGAATACCACAAACATATATAATATTACATACCAGAGTGTATAATCACATTGTTATAACATTATCTAAAGTAATCAAACACCTACTAAACACTTCCACAAACATATATAATATTACATACCAGAGTGTATAATCACATTGTTATAACCTTATCTAAAGTAATCAAACACCTACTAAAGAATACCACAAACATATATAATATTACATACCAGAGTGTATTATCACATTGTTATGACATTATCCAAAGTAATCAAACACCTACTAAACACTACCACAAACATATATAATAGTACACACCAGAGTGTATTATCACATTGTTGAAACATATGGCAAAAGAATAAAAGAATAAAATAAATCAAAGTGGGGGCCAAATGTTGACCCAACCTTTGCCTAATTCCTTTTAACAATACTTATTGAATAAACTCTGTGTTTAGTTTAGCCAAAGACACAGTTCACACAATAGATGAGATCAAATAATTACATATTAATCACTGCTATAGCTCCCATTCCCATGAGGTGCCGTTATTCGTCAGGCCATCGGATCCAAATTATCGGTCTAGCCTATGGGACATCCGATTTACTAGGAAACTAGGTCTCTGCCGTCATCAGGTGAGTGCTGTCATTGTTCTCAAATCAAACTAGAACGAATTACAATTTATCTTGGTTCGAGATCGTGTCTTGTTTACGACAAGCATTTCCGAAAAGGACTTGCAGCCAACAGCTTTTGTGTAAGGTCATTCGGCTAGAAAGCGCTGCGGCATATGAGTTTCTGCGGGGGGAGTCTTTGTTTTGTTCACACTAGATCACATTGAATAATCCGTGTGGGAAGGAAACGGAACGAAACGTTCATTGCTACTATTTTGGTTCCATATAGAGAATCTCAAACGAGCTCCCCGATTATTTTTACTAAACAAATTTTAGCAAATTTTACAACAATCAATGATAAGAATAAGTGTGAAAAATCGTTTTAACATTTACTCAATTAGAGCGAGTTGTAAAGCCCATTGCGTATTTAAATAGACAAAATACGTGGAAAACACCGCCACTTTTGTCATCGCCGTGTTTTTTTACGTCAAAGGATTGTTCTCTGTGACATCACAATGGTTAATATTGAACGTTAAATATCAAAACCAATCAATTATAACTGTTGTGAACTTGTGACGTCGTAACCTTAATGTATGTTTCTCTTGTCACTGGGGTCACGATATCGAACAGCTGTGTACACCATGTGTGTACGATGTGCGAATGGTGTGTGCACGATGAATGTACGATGTGTGCACGCCATATTTGATGCGTTGTGCGGTCACACAACTGTATAACATTGTACTTTTGGCCGTTTGTGCATTGACCTATCTTGTTAAAGCATATTAGTTTCCTTTTTTCTCGCATGAATGTTCTTTTAAACAAATACATCTATCGATAAAAGAACGTATGCAACAAGGGTTCGATTTTTATTGATTAAATCACAGCATCATTCAAACGCACCGATTTTCATATAATAATAATAGTAATATACTGTTATAGCGCCTTATTTGGCTAACATAAGACACACTATAGCGCTTCACAGTACATAGATATGCAATTAATACAATTAGCATATACATTAATTATTACAATTTTTGAGGAATTCGCAGGAGCTGCCTTATCAGGCGCTAACTACTAGTCCTTTGCCACCTGGAAAGTATCTCCCTTTGTGTCTATGCCTGCGTGTGTGCTGGAGATGTATTGAGTTCTTTTTTTTGTAACGTGACCGTGCTTCCAACGGCATCTATTTTAGTGCCACCTCACTTGAATGCTACATCACAGATACCGCAACATCCATCCCATATCATTTTATACTCCACCTGGGTTGTTGAAGTTGTATGGGTAGGAGAAAAGCACTTTCTCTGACATTCCATGCCTGCGACAACTTCGATGATCGAACCCCGGCCGCCTGCGTGGAAGACCGAAGTGTTAACCACTCGACCAATATGGACAGTATACTAAATGTGTAAACGTCTATTCTTGTGGGGATTATAATCTCGCGATGATCGATTTTTTTTGTGAAAATTTAATCCAAAAAAATATTTAAACAACTGAAAAAAGACAGACAGAAACGAAATGGCGACTTCAGTTAACGACCGACCACACCATAACACTACAAACGCAAAAATGGAAAGAGCTCAAATACCGATAACATGAACACAAAACACCACTTACTATCTGCCTGGTCGATTTCTCTGTTATAGTTTATTTCATTCACCTAATCGTTATTAATGATAACAGTTTTCCTAACAAAATTCAATCAATTATTTTTCTGAAATCTGGGTAAAAATGAGTCCACGAATATGATGGATTTAAGAAA